GAAGAACTATAACTCGGGGAGGGGAGGGGGCGGATCACCCAATGAAAAAATGGGCAGATGACCTGAATAGACATTTTTTCCAAAGAAGATACTCAGAATCTAACAGGTATATGAAAAGGTGCTCAACAACACCAATCATCATGGAGATAAAAAACACAATGAGATATTGTCTCACACCTGTTAAAATAACTATTATCAAAAAGACCAGAGGTAACAACTATTGGCAAGGATGTGGATAAAAGGGAACCCTTGTACACTTTGGTGGGAATGTAAACTGGTGAAGCTACTATGGAAAACAGTATGGACGTTCTTTGGAATATTAAAAATAGAACTACCCTATGATCCAGCAATTCCACTTCTGAATATATATCCAGAAAGAATGAAATTACCACCTTAAAGTGATATTAGCACCCCCATGTTCATAGCAGCACTATTTACAATAGGCAAGACATGGAAACAACCTAGATGTCCATCAGCAGGTGAATGGGTAAAGATAATGTGGCATATACATATAATGGAATACTATTCACCCATAAAAAAGGAAATCCTGACATTTGTGACAGCATGGGTAGACCTAAAGGGCATTATGCTAAGAAAATAAGTGTGTATCAGTTATATGTAGACTCTAAACAAGCTGAAGTCATTAAAGAGAGTAGATTGGTAGTTGCCACGGGGTGGGGGGAGAATGGGTGAGTGTGGTGAAATGGTACAAACTTTAAGTTATGAAATTAATAAGTCCTGGTTAACAGTTTGGTGACTATAGTTGACAATACCGTACTGTATATTTGAAAGTTGCTAAGAGGGGCGCCTGGGTGGCGCAGTCGGTTAAGCGTCCGACTTCAGCCAGGTCACGATCTCGCGGTCCGTGAGTTCGAGCCCCGCGTCAGGCTCTGGGCTGACGGCTCAGAGCCTGGAGCCTGTTTCCGATTCTGTGTCTCCCTCTCTCTGCCCCTCCCCCGTTCATGCTCTGTCTCTCTCTGTCCCAAAAATAAATAAAAACGTTAAAAAAAAAAATTAAAAAAAAAAAAAAAAGAAAGTTGCTAAGAGCGATCTTAAAAGTTACTTACTACACGAAAAAATTGTAACTATGTGAGGTGACAGATCTTTTAACTAATCTATGATGGTCATCATTTTGAGAAATATATATATATGTTATATTTGTAACATATCTATATATAATCATCACTTTGAACACTTGAAAATTACACAGTGTTCTATGTCAATTGCATCTCAATAAAGCTGGAGAAAATGGAATGATTAAGCTTACAATGAGATAAAGTTTTAAAATCCAGAAGTAGTAAATACTGAAAATCACTTACTCATTGTTTTGCTGCATTGTACTGTTATCTGACCTCTGAGTCTGTTTGTAAATGTTTTAATCTGGATGATGGAAATACTATCAAATGCTGCCCTGCTACACAGCACTTCTCAACTCCAGTCCATTTACTTTGTACTGTTTGATGAGTTCTGGATAATGGCCAAATACTCCTAATGCTTTAGCAAGACCCCTATTACCCAACTTGTTAATAGAATTATTAGTATTATGTTTATTTGCATTGACAATGCTAATAAATTATTTAATTTTAGAAGTAAAATCTTGTGCCATTGTTGGAATCATTCATGGCCATCAGTAAGTGATTATTGTTTAGAATTTCCAAACTGTGGGGTGCCTCACTGGCTCAGTTGGAAGAGCATGTGACTCTTGATCACGGGGTTGTGAGTTCGAGCTCCACATGGGGTGTAGATTTTACTTAGATAAAACTTTAAAAAGAAAGCATTTCCAAACTATATTTTCCTATCAGACTTCTTACATTTCACAATACCACCAGTCTAGGATCAGCTTTTACTCCCTGATACTGACACTTTTCTAAGGTATATCTTCCTCAAACATGTATTATCTTATCCTTCAAAAACAAAGTATCATTACAAGCCTTTGCAGTTTAAATGTCAGTCAGTATTTGTTGTTTGTTTTATATATTTTTAGATCTTTATTTTCATTTTTAAAATCTTTGACATTTTTTTGCTAAGTTCTATTTGCTTGCCCTGGTTGCTACTACTAATGCAAAGAGAAATATCCAGGGAAGCTTAATTAGACATGCTGAATAGATTGCATTTAGTGTTTAAACGAGAAAGAGAAGGTTGCATTTTCACTTTCCAAAGGATTATATGTGTTTCACATTACTTTCTCACTCATTTTGTTTCACAGCCTTTTTGACTTCATAAGGGTTCATTTTTAGTCAGTTTTATGATGAGACAGTATCTGAGATCCTATAAGAACCTATTATGCCTGACCTTCGTCTTCGCTGATCTTCAGTATTGACTCTACCCCCGCAGGGCTGGTATTTTATAGGGTTCGTCTACCATTTTTGTGTGGCATGTGAACCTACTGGAAATCGAAAACTTGATTTTTGTTGCCTGAAGCTAGACATGGAAGACAAGAGCTCTAAGACTCCCCACTCCCCCAAATGGAGATTTTCTTTTTTTTTATTTTTTTTTTAACGTTTATTTATTTTTGAGCCAGAGAGAGACAGAGCATGAATGGGGGAGGGTCAGAGAGAGGGAGACACAGAATCTGAAACGGGCTCCAGGTCTGAGCTGTCAGCACAGAGCCCGCCGCGGGGCTCGAACTCACGGACCGCGAGATCATGACCTGAGCCGAAGTCGTTCGCTCAACCGACTGAGCCACCCAGGCGCCCCAGATTTTCTTTTTTTTAAATAAAGGTTATGGACTGGAATTGGGCCACTTTATTTTGGGGGATCAAACTCCAACATATAAAGGCTTTTGTCTTTTTAAGAACGCGTATTAAATATATTGTTTGTGTGTGAGAGAGCAATGGATGGGGAGTGGGGAGGAAAGAGCCGAGAAGAGTGAGATAGAGATGAGGGAGATAGACGGAGGGAGGGAGAATTTAAGCTCCATACCTAAAAGCAAAGTAGAGATTTATGTTCATTTGTCATTTTCCTCACTAATTTTTCCTGGTCGAGCTCATACCCACCCCTTGCTTGTGCTCTCGCTGTAGCAATGTTGTTTATCCCAGGATTGGTGTGTCCATATCAAAGTCAAAGAGATTCCCTGTTTAGTTGTCCTTTGGGAAGATGCTATACCATTACTTCTGTGTGCGCAGGGCCTAGCACACTGCATACATCTCTCATGTTCAGTAACTGGCTGTGTGAATCCCATACGGCATTTAAACCTTTCATTTACTTTAATGGCTTTACCCATTTAAGGAAATAAAGGCTTGTTCCCTTTATAGGATACCAACTATTTAACTAAACATCATTCACTTAGAGGGAGATTATAAGTGAATTCGTTTCTCTAGGGCTACCATTACCTTACATGAGCACTTTTGTATGGCCATTTTAGGAAAGATCCAAGAGAAAGATGGAAAGGCTAAGACCTTGGTGGTAAGAGGGGTACACCATGCATGTGCAAGTCAGTGTCACTTGAGGCTCCAATGACAGAATTGTTAAAAGAGGGAAGAATACAGTGCATTTGCATCTAAATGAGTGTAAGCTGAAAAATGTTTGCTGACTTGAACACCTGGGGTCAAAGCCCCAAACAACTCAGATAAAAAAGAAATAAGTAGAAGTGCCTGGCTTAGTTGGTTAAGGTCTGACTCTTGATTTTGGCTCAGGTCATGATCTCACGGTGTCTGAGATCGAGCCCTACATTGGGCTCTGAGCTGACAGTATGGAGCCTGCTTGGGATTCTTTCTCTCCCTCCCCCTCTGCCCCTTCCCTGCATGTGCTCACTCTGTCTCTGTCTCTCTCTCTGTCTCTCTCTCTCTCTCAAAATGAATAAATAAGCTTAAAAAAATACGAAATAAGTAAATATTTACAGAATTGAAATGACAACAACTAAGTGTACTTACTTAACTTTAGGTTTTACTTAACTAATTTACATATTTTTTGGTTTGTAAGTAGAAAATAGAAGTGGCCAATTGGTGTAGGAATTTAAATAAACAGTTACATTTCTAAGTGGGTGAATAGAATTCTACTTGATTCAATTATTCAGGCAGGCAGTTAATTTAACAAGGTGTCAAATATCATAATCAGCCAAGGTCAGATTTTCAAAGAAGTGACATTGCAAGTAAATGTTTACATAAACAGTTACATTTTAGGACAGTGAGTTGAAGATAAAATCTTTTTCTGTTGGCTTGATGTAATTTCTAGAATATTGGATATGTTTCTTTCTAAATCCCTTCAGTTTATTGATACCACGATGTAGAGATTTGTTTCTTGGGTTTAAGATTTCATTTTCTGTTCAGATAAAAATACGTCTAGGAAGGGTATATTAGAATTTGTCATTTAACTCTTAATGGTGGAAGTTCATAACATTCTTTCCTAAAAACTATTTATATAGAAAGAAAATAGCAGTATCAAGAAGACTGGGAAGTCAGCCTCTCCCTGTCTATCAAAATTAAAATTGCACTTACCCTTTGACCCAGCAGTCCCTCTTTTGAGAATATGTTGGGTGGGGGGGCTGTGGAAGCAAGATGCATAGTAATGTTTAGAGAATGTTATCTTCTATGTAGATAAGGGAAGAAATAAAATAAGTGTGGTTCTTTTATTTGCATAAAGAAATACTAGCAGGATACATGAGAAATTATTGAGCATAGTTATAAGGTTATGCCAAAGAGATGAGGGGGGCGGGTATGGGGGTTATTATACTTGGAGATAGAGAGGAATAAGACTTTTACCTTTATATACTTTTGCATCATTTTGATTTTTGAATCATGTGATTGTATTACCTATTTTTTTAAAAGTTTATTTATTATTTTGAGAGAGAGAGAGAGCATGAGCAGGGGAAGGGCAGAGAGAAAGAATCCCAAGCAGGCTCCACACTGCCAGCATGGAGCCCGATGCGGGGCTTGAACTCAGGAACTGTGAGTAGAGGCCTTTAGCCATTGATGCAGCGGACTGCTAACATGAAGGGACTTTTCTGACATTCTGGCCACATGCCACTCAGTCAAGTTCTCTATGTATCTGTTTTCCTATAGATGCCAGAGGAACAAGCATTCTGTGTTTTGGTGAAAATCATGTATGACTATGGTTTGCGAGATCTCTACAAAAACAACTTTGAAGATCTTCACTGTAAATTCTATCAGTTGGAGAGACTAATGCAGGTAAGTGAAAATTAGGCTTTTGTCACTCAGGGGTTGTTTGAAGTACAGAAAAAGTAATACAATTGATGAACAATAATGATTCATGGAGGTTTAATGGACTTCTACAGAAAATGTAGACATATTTGGTTTCTGACCACTATCTACATTGGTGTTAATATTTATTTCACCATTTGATCATTTTTAAAATAGTCTTCTATTTTATTTTTTTTTTTAATTTTTTTTTTCAATGTTTTTATTTTTATTTATGGGACAGACAGAGACAGAGCATGAACGGGGGAGGGGCAGAGAGAGAGGGAGACACAGCATCGGAAACAGGCTCCAGGCTCCGAGCCATCAGCCCAGAGCCTGACGCGGGGCTCGAACTCACGGACCGTGAGATCGTGACCTGGCTGAAGTCGGACGCTTAACCGACTGCGCCACCCAGGCGCCCCTAGTCTTCTATTTTAAATATTCAACTTTAATATAGTGAGTTAAGTCAATGAAGAAGATTCCCAACTATTATTTGTAAAGAAATGAAGATGTTAACAGAATAAAGATTGAAATACGTAAGAGCTTTCTCCACCTTAATTAGCATCAGTACCATATTTAGGTCCACATGTACAGAACTCTTTGAAGGGACAGAAAGGTATTGAAAGAGAATAAAAAACTTAAACATTTTAATGTAGAGATGTATTAAAAATTTTTTCTCATATAATGTCCTGATCTCAAACAGTGTTGTTACTGTTTCACAATATGTCTGTGTAAATTTGTATTTAAGAGGAACACATTATTTAATCTGTGTCAGATATGACATAATAAAAAAATTGTGAGCAAAAGCAAAGTTAATGACTAGTGCTGATAAAAGGAATTACTGAGTAGGTTTGAAATTCCACCTGATGTTGGAAATCTTATATCTGTTTTTTAATGTTTATCTATTAAACATTAACATTAAACACTGAGAGAGATAGAGAATGAGAAAGAGGGAGACAGAGGATCTGAAGCAGACTCTGTGCTGGCAGCAGTGAGCCCACAGTGGGGCTGGAACTCATGAACTGTGAGATCATGACCTGAGCCAAAGTTTGATGCTCAACTCACTAAGCCACCCGGGTGCCCCTGTGCAGTGTGTTTATATGGCTGTCTCTATATTGGGTATTGGGAATCCAAGAAAAATTTGAAGGAAATACATGAATGGATTGAGTCCGTGTTGGATAAAAGTAAAGTTAATCAAGGAGGAAGGTTAGGGGGATGCAGCAGCAGAGATACTGGTAGGAGCTCATTGGCATGACCTGTCAGGAGATCCGTAGGTGTCTAAAGAGGGAGGCGAGGTCAGTAGGAGACCGAAAAACTAAAACAGGGAAGAGAGAGACTTAGCAGTGGAGTTACGGACAACTTTACTAGAAAAGAATGTGGGAGGGTAGAAAACCTTAAACATTAGGAAGAAATGAAATGGGGGAAAGATGTCAAATGAACTGTAAGCACAATGGCGTACAGGCATTGAGGAGAAAAAAGACTGTAGAAGAATCTGGTAACTATGGACAGTAAAAGCAATAGACTCTTTTTTAGAGATTTAATCCTTCCAAGTAAATATTTGGGACTTTTCACTTCTTTACCTTTCATTTACAGAAGTTTATGTTTTTCTCTAAGGTCCGTATTCTTAAAAGCTTTAAGAGTCAAATAAGTGTAACTGATAAATGAAGAGCATGTTTGTGGTACTGTGAAGAAAACCAGACACATTTTTCTGTTAGCATCTTTCAGTGGTGACCATTTGGACACCCCAATTTAAAGTACCTAATGGGTACATCTGGGTGCTTTTCAAAAAGCATCTGATGTAAGAAGTTAGGCTTTTCTTTTTGTTTTTGTGATCTGTTTATGAAAACAAAATGAACGTGGGCTTTTACGTATCTTTGCTTTTGTCTTTCAGTTAGAGGAATAGCTAGGCTGATACTCTGCACTTTACCTTTCATGCTTTTGACAAGCATTTACTTGTGTAAATTGGAAAAAAAAAAAGGGATCAGGGTGACATAAAGGCATTTTTAGGAGACATCCAATTTCATACATTATACACTTGCACAGTTTCTATAGTTTGCCATTTTTAATGTCAAGGACCTATTGTTTTAAAGTTTGGTTGTGTTTTGGGCTTTTCTCAATACTGCACAAATTTATTGGAGTGATACCATAGATCCCAGATGATGTTGATATTAAGTGGTCTCCAAAGAGAAGATAACCTAGGTAGTTAGGCATTGAACCCTGAATGGGGTGTTGGACTTGACTCTGGAGGGATGACATTGATTAGACTACAGGTGTTCTGTCAGAGCAAGCATGTCCCAAGAAACAAGAACAGTCAAGTGAGAAACAGGTGATATTTGTTATTTGTTCATAACAAGTCTGCCTTTATTTTCCTTGATTATCGTGTCCCCAGTGCTCATCTCCTGTCATTGCTTCTGTGTAATTACATAAAATTCAGCAGATGCCATGAAAAATTGAGAGTGGTCATAGAAAGCTTGTCCTAAATTATAGTAGTGGTAGGAAATAAAGCTTCTCAGTCTTCCTTCCCCTCAATTTTCCACTTTGACTTTTTAGGAGCAGTTACCAGACCTGCATACCCATTTTTGTGATCTGCACCTGGAAGCACATATGTATGCGTCCCAGTGGTTTCTCACTCTTTTCACTGCCAAGTTCCCTCTCTGCATGGTCTTCCACATCATTGACTTACTGCTTTGTGAGGTACAGTAACTCCATCTCTCATACCTAAACCAAAGTAGAAAATAGTTTCTAAAGTGGCTACAATTTTTTTTTTTACTTTAAGCCATAAATACCATAGAGTTCTATTTGAATTTTTAGTAAAGACTATTTTAGTTGTAATTTTATTACTTGTGAGAAATGAAAATGTTTAAGCATATATAATTTCTTCAAAGTAAGATGAGGTAATTAAATGTATACAATTAAAATTCATAATAAGCCTTTATTTGTGTAATAATATATTACTAATATAAAGGACGCTTAAAGTTAAATAAATTTAAAATAAAGTGTTTCTAATAGTAATGCAGTTATACTCCAAGAGTGAATATAAATGAAAATTGTACAGTAATTTTAATTTAATTTTAATTTTCTATTCTATTCTATTCTATTCTATTCTATTCTATTCTATTCTATTCTATTCTATTCTATTCTAAATGCCAGTATAGTTAACATACAGTGTTATGTTAGTTTCAGGGATACAATATAGTGATTCAGCACTCCAAACAGCACCCAGTGCTTGGGGCACCTGGGTGGCTCCGTTGGTTAAGCGTCAGACTTTGGCTCACAGTTTGTGAGTTCGAGACTTGTATTGGGCTCTGTGCTGACAGCTCAGAGCCTGGAGCCTGTTTCAGAGTCTGTGTCTCCCTCTCTCTCTACCCCTCCCCCACTTGCTCCATGTCTGTCTCTGTCTCTCTCTCTTTCTCTCTCAAAAATAAACATTAAAAAAAAAAGACACCCAGTGCTCATCACAAGTGCACTCCTTAATCCCCATAAACTATTTTACCCATGTCCCTATCGACCTCCCCTTTGGTAACCCTCAGTTTGTCCTCTAATTATATAGTAATTTAATCCTCAATTCATAAGATATTTCTATTGTATATGATGTTTGACACTCCTACCAGGTAACAGTAAAGTGATACTCTAAAGTTTCTACATCATATAGTTTTATTTTCAGGCAGGATATTTCAAAAATTAGCTTGCAAAATATTTTAGGTATCTGTATTTATATATTTTATTGTTTTTATTTCCTTTGGTGGCAAAATTTATTTACTCCTTTTTTTTGAAGCAGGGAGGGGCAAAGAGAAGGGGCGAGAGAGACTCAAGCAGGCCCCGCACCCAGTGTAGAGCCCAGTGCAGGGCTTGATACCACGATCGTGTCTGGAACCGAAGTCAAGAGTCAGATGCTTAACTGACTGAGCCACCCAGGCACCCCATACTTACTTTACTCTTAAAGAAATAAGCAACATTACACACACATACATCATATACTGCCAGTCAACATGTTGGACAGTCTTAGCAGTGATAGGAAAGCTGCTGTAGGAGAATAACTTTTTTATTATTGGGAATATATATGTACATAAATTATACTATCTTAAATTAGAAAGCTAGAGTAATCATGGGGCCCCTGGGTGGCTCCGTCAGTTAAGCGCTGACTTCGGCTCAGGTTTGTGAGTTCGAGCCCTGCATTGGGCTCTGTGCTGACAGCTCAGAGCCTGGAGCCTGCTTCCGATTCTGTGTCTCCCTCTCTCTCTGCCCCTCCCCCACTTGTGCTCTGTCTCTCTCTGGCTCTCAAAAATAAATAAACATTAAAAGAAAAATTTTTTTAAAAGAAAGCTAATCAAAAGTATAAACCTAATATAATCTGGACAGTTTTGTATTTCTACGTTACTTTTTATACAGTTTCCTCTTTCTTAAAAGTCTAACCATTTTAATCCCCCTGGGGACTAGAAATTTCATTTCAAAAGTAAGATTAAAGAAGATAAAGTACATCAGCTGCACAAAGTAAAACTGTTAGTTCTAGCCTATCACAGCAGTAACCATTTCATATGCAAGCCACGTTGGGTTCTGCACTTGGAGGTTCTAGGTAACAGTTGCACAGTACGTGAAAGTTGCAGAGCATTTTGTAAGGGTGTAAGAGTTGTAAACATTTGTAACATATTTTGACAAAGAAAGTTTGAGTGACTTGTTGAAGGTCATAGAATAAGGTCTCCAATTCTGAACACGTAACAGCTAGAGAACCTGACCGATAGCATAGTAACTCTCTGATTTTTTTTTTTTTTTACTGATAAATTCATTTCTAAACTGCCTATATAAATATAACCTAAAGGAAGAATGCAGAATTAGAAGCTAAAACTTTATTCAAAGTCAAAATGGTGTGATCACAGTATACACAAATTTAGGCATTTGTACTAAAAATTCTACTTGGCCTGATTATCCAAATTGGTGTGGTGAACAGTTCTGACTCTAATTTAGTGCAATACTCTTCGAAAGTAAAAGCCAAATTTATATCTTTGAGTTCTGTGAACTTAAAGTAATACTAAAATTTAGTTTTCATGAGTATTCATACGTCCTATTTATTTTAATCACCCTGGGGACTAGAAATTTCATACTAAGCTGAGGTTAGTAGTTCATCATATTTATTAAAAAATGGGAAAGTGAGGGTATGACCTTTTAACAGTTTTATCTTTATATATTGTAGGAGCTTGCAAAAGTTAATATCATTGCTTCATGTTTTTTGCTGAAAGAGATTATCTAATTTCATACTATATTAGTTCTATACTGTTCATTATACTAATGAGAAGGAAATTAATATGCTTAATCATACCAGTTAAATTGGATTTCTCGGTCACTTTTGGCAGAATAGTAACACTATCCTTTAGCTCACTAGACTGATGACCTTCTAAAATTGTCTCTATCTCAGTGGTTCCATACCTGACATTGGAGTAACATCCGTGGGTCTTCTGGAACCCAGATTCATAATTTCTCGGGAAATTTTTATCTTGAAGATACTGGAATTTCTAATGTCAGTTGCTAAGAAAATTAGCAACATATATGGTAGAGAAATGAAAAGTTGATTTATAAGCCTTCTTATCATTTGCCAACTGTGATTTCTAGTTACAGTGTTTGAAATATCTTAATGCTTATTAAAATTAATAAGTATTATATATATTACTTTACCTCCACTTAAACCTATATTCTGTAGCTGCTTAAGGAAATTGCATAGCTTTCTAAAACATAGAATAGTTTGTAATCACAGGATCATGGTAACCAGGGAAATGAACAATAACATCCCTTAATAGTTCAAAATTTTGTTGGGAACAGTATCAGGATATTCATTTCTTTCCACTAACTCATCTTTGTCAGCGGATTATTTTGCAAAGGAAATTTTTAGGTAAACTTTGATTTCCTGCCTGTCTGTGTTTTTTCTCTTTGCCCCTTTCCTCCTTGTCGTTAATAAACTGTTTGTATCAAAGCTCTTCTTTCATATGAGGTAGAGTTTTCTAAAAGAAGAAATGATATAACACAGTCTTAAATAGAATCATCTATAGGTATTGTTTTTGTCCTATTCTCTATTTTTTAGGAAAATGATTTAAATCTTCCTGGGCTATGAATTAATGTTTAGTTACAAATGGAACGCTGAGAAATTCTCAGATGGAAAAGTTGATTTTTCAAAATTCATCACTCTGACCAAAAAAACCCAAAAGTGTTAATCTGCAGGATTATTTTGCTCAGAGATCCTATTGCAGAGTGAGAAAGACATCAAGCTTGCGACTTTTAGAAAGCTTATCATCGTCTCGTGTTTTCCTGTGCTAAATGCTTTTAAGGATTTTTTCATTCATCTAGAGGTCAAAAATATGAAGCTAATGTAGTAGAAGAAAATTTAGGAAGAGTGTTAGTAGACTTTGTGCAGTCTGCATTAAAAACTTCTAGTTGTTAATAATTTATTTAAAGTGTTTATATAAAGCTGAATATATGGTGACTCAGGTTAATTCCCTTATTTAGTGAAGATGATGGCATCAGGATTTTAAACTAGAGTTTGAAAAAAACATTTTATTATATTGAGATGAATGGAACTTTCTATAAATTATCATTTAGCCAATCAATGAAATGAAATTATTGTTTTTAAAAAGAACAAAACCTGGGCGCCTGGGTGGTTCAGTCGGTTAAGTGTCCGACTTCGGCTCAGGTCATGATCTCACAGTCCGTGAGTTCAAGCCCCGCGTTGGGCTCTGTGCTGACAGCTCATAGCCTGGAGCCTGCTTCGGATTCTGTGTCTCCCTCTCTCTCTGACCCTCCCCTGTTCATGCTCTTTCTGTCTCAAAAATAAATAAACATTAAAAAAAATTAAAAAAAAGAACAAAACCTTTTATGGTTTATTGTCTGCCTCTATCTGAGGAGATAAGAAAAAGGCTAAAAGTATTAACAGTTATAGTGTAAATATTGTACTGTTAACCCACCGAGAATAGAATAGTGCTTAAAAAAAATGTTTATTTATTTATTTTTGAGAAAGAGAGAGAGAGAGAGAGAGAGAGAGAGAGAGAGAGAGAGAGCACAAGCTGGAGAGGGGCAGAGAGAGAGGGACAGACAGGCAGACAGAAACCAAAGCAGGCTCCAGACTCTGAGCTGTCAGCACAGAGTCCTATGTGGGGCTCAAACCCACCAACTGTGAGACCATGACCTGAGCCAAGGTCGGATGCTCAACTGACTAAGCCACCCAGGTGCCCCAGAATAGTGCTTTTTTAAAAGAACTTTTTGTTGAAGTGTAAAAGATTAAAAGAAAATTTGCAAAAATTAGTGAAAACGTGATGATTTTTCATAAAGTGAACGTAACTTGTGTAACAAGCATCCATATCAAAAAGAAGCAGAATACCGTCTGAATTTCAGAAGCCCTCCTCTTTCATTGCCCCTGCCTTCACTACCTCTCTGAAGAGTGAGTTACCACTGTCCTGAGTTCTAACACCATACATTAGTTTTGATTTTGTTTTGAACTTCATTTAAATGGAATACTACAATATGAACTCTTTTGATGGAGGTGTTTCATTCATCACTATGTTTGTGAGATTCATCCATATAGTTGCATCTAGACAGGGTTCATTTGTTCCAATCCATTCTTCCATTGTATAGTTGATGGACATTTAGGTTGTTTCCACATCAGGGTTCTTGTAAATAGTGTTGCTGTGAACATTCTTCAGCTTTTTTTTTTT